TATATATATATAAACCGTTTATCATATATATAATTCGTTAAAATATTAAATAAGCTTATGAGTCTATATTCTTTTATTGTAATTAAATAGATTCATTGACAAAAAAGTATCACTTGTATCATGTAACCTTAAAACGAATGTTGGTCAGCTAACATGTTCTGCACACGTGGATGCTAATGTGGCTTTTCTGATGTAGAAAAATTAATTGAGTGGAAAATTTCTTTTTCAAGACGTGGTTTATTCCAATCCAATTTTACTGCCAACGACCATGACGAAAGATGCCAATTGACCATGAATCTAATAGCCACTAATATCATGTGCGTCATGGGAAGAATTTATATAGATAAGAATTATAAAATAAAAATTTATTTGAATATAGTCTAAAGATAATGATTTTTTAAAGAGCTTACTTAGTATTTTAAGCTATATAATTTATATGAAGTAATCAATGAATCCGACTGATGAAAGAGGTAAAAGCTTGGTTTCTGTTGTGGTCCATCACTAATCACTTTGTGAAACAGCCTTAGAAGTAGAAACCACTGCAGTCTGCACTCAGCACTCACCATTGCCCAACTGCAGCTTAAATTTCCCCAAAATCAACGTACTCTTAACTTTTCTGTGGGGTAAATTTATGTCTTTTCATTTCATTGTCTTGTCAGTTTTCTATTTTTTTTTCTTTATTTTTGTTGGAATAATAGCTCATCAATTTATTAAATCCACTTGGAGAGAAGAAATTAAAAAAAAAAAGTTGATGCAAAAAAGAATTATTTTGAAATCTGGAAGCATAAAAGTTTGGAGCTGGAGTTTGGAAATTGTTATGCACATAAAAACATAGCTTAGGCATGAAATTAGCTACAGAGGGCAGCGGGTAGAAAAAGTAGTGCAGCTTTAGTTCGTGGTATAGGACGGCTATTTTGCATAATAGTGTTAGCGAGCAGATGGATGGGTGGCTATAGGTTTAATCACCAATGAAATTATCATGGTCTTTAAAGATAATTAATTAATTTGTAAAAAAAAATCTTATGTTATGAATATTTTTATTAATATTTATTTATATTATTTATATTTACATTTGAATGTAAATTAGATTGAATCAATATTAAGATTTAATTCATTTAATTCTTTAGTATTATCTTTATCTTGTAAATTCAATCTACATAAGAGGTTATTAGCTTATAAATAAATCCTTTCACTTTATTTGTAAATACATACATGAATAAGATCTTTTTTCTCCTTTTAAATACTTTTTTTCTCCCTCTAAATACTTTATTTCTTATCTTTCTTTAATTGTTCTTTTAAGTAATATTTTCATAACACATTATCAACACGATCTTTTGATCTCTCAAGTTTGAAATTATTTTGTTTTCATCATCTTCATCCTTTAAAAGGATTTCAATGGTTGGTCTTTAATTTTTGATTGTAACAAATTAGGTAAGTGACTTAATATCTCTTTAGTATTTTCATTCCCTAAAAATCTAACTTAATATGAATTTTATTATCATGTAATATACATTATATTTTGTCCCTTGCTATTAATGAAAAATTATAATATCTATTTCTTAAAGTAAATGTGACAAACAAGATACTAATAAAAAATTATAAATTCATCCATTATTTGAAGTGAATGCAACATCATTTAATAATTATGATCACCATAATAATTTACACTATTACTATTCTAAGAATCATTTCACCATCAGAAATACATAGATAATTTTACCATCAGAATCTAAGAATAATTTTATTATTAGGAGTGAATAAATAATTTTAACATCAAAAGTGGATGGATACCTTAACTCACTAACTTACTAAAAATTGGATAATTCACCAGAAGTAGATAACCAATCATAAGTGGATCACCAACCAAAAGTGGATGAATACTTTCACCCCATCACAAGTGGATGAATAATGAAAGAACAAAAAAGAAAAAATAAAAAAATATAAAAAATGTATTGTGGTTGATGTCTCATGAAAGACTATTAGTCATGTATATGTTGTACGTATTAAATTTTATCAAGCATCACTGAAAACTAAAATATTTTGTGATAATTTTAGCCATTGTCAAGTTGATATAGCACATCAAGATGTTTGTCCACTCTAAAAAAGAATTGATTATATGATTGGAAATAAAAATATCCACTGTTGATTTTTTTGTCTTGAAAAGGAGCTCATCTTTTAATTGGTAATGGAAATATCTAAAAATAAACTTAATAGTAATTGGTATATATTATTATAACTATATTATGAAGATGCTTTAATATGTTCTTATTATATTTAAATGATATGTTATTATTATGTGTTTTAATTATGTATTTAATGTTCTTTTATGTTAACTTATAAATTACTTATTGTATATATCTTATTTTATTAAAAAATAAATAAATATTCATCTTGTTGGATTCAAGATCGATGATAGATATATATGTCTAGCAGATATTGCTATAATGCACATTATATTTAAAGACAAAATATTCTTCTCAATTGATAACGAAAAAAAAATTAATGTCAATACAATATCTGCTAATGCAAGATTAATTAAAAGCTTTGAAAGAGTTAATATTTTATTACCTTGAGAATAAAGTTTATAATAGATAATGTATTATTTTCTATTAAGTCTCAAAAAAGTTTATTAAGTTTTAAAGATATTCATCTGAATAGATATCATATTGAGACAACAAATGAAAAAGACACTTAATACCTCTATATTACATTTATTATCTCAAATAAAAAGTGTGTTAAAAAAAATTACTTGCTTTGTTCTCTGGATTAAACTACACAAATATTAGAATAATTGAAACTTATAGTAAACCAAAAGTTTACTAATAAGTTTAATGTTTGGCATGATCGGTTATACCATCCTAAATCAATAATGATGCAAAAAATTACTGAAAATTAATATGATCATTTATTGAAAAATTAGAAGATTTTTAATCTAATGAAATACTCATGTGTTGCTTACTTTTAAAGCAAATAAATTATAAGACTAGCACCAGCTAAAGTTGGAACTAAATTCTCTACGTTTTTGGGTTATATGTGGATTCATACATCCACCATGTGAATCATTTAGATATTTTACGGTTTTAATCGATACATCAACTAAATGGTCAATGTATACTTATTATCAACTTGCAATTTGACATTTGCAAAATTAATTGCCCAAATCATTTGTTTGGACGCATATTTTTTCGATTATATAATCAAGACAATTAGTCTTAACAATGATAGTTAATTTACATCTCAAGCTTTAAATATTGTATATTCGTTGAAACAATTATTGAGGAACCTGTTGCTTATATTTATACACAAAACAGTCTTGTAAAATCATTTATTAAATACTTCAAATTGATTGCAAGGTCATTACTTGTGAAATTTAAACTCTTAATTTCTATTTAGGGGCATGCCATTTTGGATGTGGAATAAAAAAAAGACCTTTTCAACCTCGTGAGGGTAATAAAGAATTTCTTAGTCTTGAAATAACATATCTTAGTCTAATTAGAGCATTGATGTATCTTGCTAGCAATACACAACTTAATATATCATTTACCATGAATTTATTAGCATGATATAATTCTTCTCCAACTCGAAGACATTAAAACAAAATTAAACATATAGTTCAATATCTTCGAGAAACAATGGATATTGACTTATATTATTCAAATGCATTAAAATTAAATTTAACTGATTTTGTATATACAGAATATTATCTGATCCACACAAAGCTCGATTCCAAACATGTTTCTTATTCATATGTGGAGGTATGACTATTTCATAATATTTTATAAAATAAACTATAATTGCTACTTCTTCTAATCATGTAGAAATTTTAACTATTCATGAGACAAGTTATGAACATGTCTAGATTTGTAACTCAACATATTTAAGAAACGTGTGGCTTGTCAACTAAGAAATAAATTTCAATAACATTATACGAGGATAATACTGCATCCAGATTGGACCAACATTAGGATTGAACCCATCTAATCCCTTAATACTATCTTCATCTTATAAATTCATATTAACTTATAAATAAGCCCTTTCACTGCATTTGTAAATAAACACTTAAATAAATTTTTTTTTCCTTATAAATACTCTCTTTCTTCTCTTTCTTTAATTGTTCTTTTAAATTATATATTCGTAACATCTTATTACTTGGTGTGTTTGAAGTTATTTTCTTCATTCAATGAGAAGTAGGCTCAATCAATAACTTAAATGGCCCGGATTTTGTTTACCAATTGGATCCATTGGCCTTTGGGCCGCCCGATAGCCTTATGACCACGCAGAGAAAGAACAAAGAAGGTCAACAGAAAATGAAGATTTTCTCGACACCACATGAAACGGAGGAAAATATAAAAACTCAGCATTCACCAGTTGATAGGGAGATGATTCCATTTAATTGCAATGCAATGGTCAAAGAGCAATTCAATCATGTTACTTAACGCAGAGTCTGACTCAGTTTCTTTGCTCGGTGATAGTTTGTTTGCTCCAGTACTACTAGAATGGCAATCTTGTTATTGGTAGACCTTCGTGCTTTTCTTCCTCGTCGCCTACCTGATTTTGCATGGCTGGATTGGATTTGAGTTGCTGGGACTCTGCTTTCTCTTCTTAAATTAATTAAAATTGACTGAAAAGAAAAGAGGGGTAAAAGAAGAAGAAGAAAGAATGCAATTTAGTTTACAGCAAGAAAAGAAAATCCTCGGCATTTCGAAATTTAGCATTGTGGTTCTCTCCCTAGTGCCTAGATGTTTTCTTTAGCTCCAGCACTCATCAACACCAGTTTAATACGGTATCCAGATCTATCCCAAACATTCACAAACACACAGCAGTCATATCTTGGAGGAAACATCAGCACAAGGAGAGAATGCAGTATGATTCTCACCATTGTGGATGGAGCTGGGCGGAAGGAAAATAGAAACAAGAGATTTAGCTCAATGATTCTTTTCTTATTGCATGGGCAGCTAATAGAAACCAGATGCTCATCAACCTACTTTTTGTGATGTTACGAAAACTTACGCCAGAGTATCACATTTAGAAACTCATACAAGCTTGAAGGAATCGATTACATTATCCATCACTCAACAGCAGTTGCATTTGGATTTATACAAACATGTCAATTAACAGAGTAAACCAAACAAATAAACAAAATCCAGGCAACTGTCCTTATTAATGTTGGACACCTCATCCTCTTTAACTTCAAGAGTCTCCAGAAATTTCTATGTTAACATGGCCTGCATTGTTCCACGACAGCAAGGGAGTGAAACAGAAGGAAGCAGTGAACATTAAATTTCGCCACAGGTTCTGAGAGGCCTGCTCACATGCCAGACTCTTTTAAAGTCAGTAATATGAGCCTGGTAACACCAGAAGGCAGAAACATAAGACACAATCTCAATGAGATTAATGGTGCAAGGAATCACATATGGATTAACACAACAACTAAGCCTCACCCGTACTACATAAGGTCAGCTATATGGACCATATTTACCCTTTAGGACGATATCCTCAGTATGATGTCCTTTTTCATTGGTTCAAATATGAATCTATGTTGATATAAAATAAACATGCAAGTCAAGAAAACCAGGCGATAAAATGTAGTGCATTTCAATATCTTAGATGGCCACATACAAACAATTGTTGAAGAATAAAAGGATTTTCTAGCATGTGGCCTCCAAGTATTGGGAACATCACTAGCTTTGTAGAATACGGTTGATGAAAAATTCCATGACATACACATGTATCCTCCACTAAATATGATAGAAATGCTTGATTGCAATATACTTTTCATTGTAAATTAAGAGAGAGAGAGAGAGAGCACCTACACTCTATAAACCCAATCTCCACAAACTGTAAACAACAAGAACATGCACAAGGATCTATAACCTTTTTTCTGCATGCATTGGAAGTTCAGAAATGAAACCTGCCTGCATCTGACAAGGCTATCACAAGAAAGATTCACCATTTCCAAGATCAAGAACTGATACCATTACTGCTTTGCTAGCAAATGCAGGTACAAGAAACTTATTTTCTTACCCTAAAGGATGCAGGCGGGATAGCTGCCTTCGAATTATTGCAGCAGAAGGTTTTTTGGGGAATGCCCAGGGAAAATTGTGACTCATGCTTTTTCTTTTTCTTTTAAATAAATGAAGACACGCACTAAAGTGCACCAAGAAGTTGCTAACCCATTCACAAGGCTAGCTGTTACTTAATGACAAGGGTGTTTTACAACGAACGTGAATTAGAAGCTAAAGACACAAGCATTGTAAAGGCAATATGCATATATAATAGGATCACTATTTTTTCCACTTCCTTTGACATCACATGATGCTAGAGTTTAGCAAAATAAAAGTATCAAATAGTGCTTAATGAATTAAATAGTTTTTTTTTTCCCTAAAGAGAGAGGACATTTTGCCACACATTACCACATTGTTTCCTACCTTCCTTTCATCCAATCCCACCACTACACAATTTTCTCAAGGATCCATCTTTTAAATCATACAAGTCAACAAAGAAACCAGAAACATTATCCAACCAGAAACATTATCCAATTTATGCATACAGAGCAAGCAACAGATATTAAGGCAATTAAGCTCAAAAAGCATATACTACTTTCTAAGCAAGTGAGGACTCTATATTCTAGGAATCAATTGCAGTGATTATCTCCATTTCTATCTACAAGTTCCCAGAAGAACAGTATATAATATATGTTCCAAAGACACATACTGATGAAGATGAATTTGATGTTACCAAGCCATAATCCTAATTTGCTAATAGATTGAGATGGATACAAAACAAATACCATGAAAAACTTATGTTAAGAATGAAGAAATGCACTGTCAAAAACTTCGAGCACATCAAACAAAAAACAATATCTTAGAAGTGTCGAACATTAACTGCAAACTTTAACACCCATATACCAATATTTAAATCTAATGATAACCCTAATTCCAACCGAGATAAAACTGTCTTAAGCCTAATAGAAAAGCAAAAACTTCAAGACCACGTAAATCAAAATATTGGCATAGGCATCCTCAAACATTTAAATTCAGCAATCTAAAGCCTCGAATAAGTATTCGTCACGTCATTATATCATCAAAACCAAAAACCATAAACATTAACAAAGCAGTATCTTCCATCTTGCCAAGAAATATTGCCCCAAAACTCAGAGAGAGACATAGAGAATTTCAACCAGGCCCTAATTAACTGCTTCAAACTCAAATCAAAAGAGCATCACTCCACATTTAAATTCAGCAATCTAAAGCCTTAAATAAGTATTCGTCAAGTCATTATATGGATCAGATATCAAAAAAGTAATCAATAATCGTAAAAGTATGTAATCTAGCTTCAATACCCTCACTTTCTTCATAATTATATAGCTCATGATCTAGCCTCAACCAAATTCCACGCAGACCCAAGCTGCTCAAAACCCCAAATCATACTTACCAGTAGTTAGAAACCAATCACCCACATCTCAAAACAAAAAATTAACCAACACCCAAATCTTTAAAACTATCAAAATTCTTCAAAAAAAAAAACAATACCCACATCCTAAAAACATCAAAAACAGCTAAAAGAAACCTCAAGTTTAACATTAAAAGAAACAATTTAAGAATTTCCAAAATCTGACCTATTTCTGGTAACCTCCACCAATGGCATTCTCATCCTCTTCAACTTTAGCAGTCAAGTAAACCCTAGGAAAATCGTTGACATCAAAGGTTTTCTCTTTCATCATCTTCTCCACGTCAGCTTTCTTCAAGATGGTACGGCGGATCGAGGGCCGGTTGCGGCGTTGATCGCGAGAGTAATATTTGATGTCGAAGACGGTTTCGGGGTTAGAGGTTGGGACAATGGGCTTTTGCAAAGTGGTGGCAGGGCAGCGAACACGATATTCCGTTGCTTTTGGAATAGCGTTTTTGTATTCTGGGTCGGCGCAGGGTCCGGTTATCTCCCATGGCTTCTTAACGTAGCGTTTCAGGCTTTGGAAGAGGGAGCTGCTTGTTTTGGAGGCCATTGCTAATTTGCTTGAAGAGAGACGGAGGAACTCCTTTTGGTGAAAATGTCTAGAGTTTCGGGGAAGAAAATGAAATACTAATTTCTTTGTTAAAATTAAATAATAGTAATAATAATAATAAAAAGATAAATTATCCTGACATTTTCAATTTCGATTGTAATTTTACATTAATTATTTAATTGTTAAAATAGATATTTCATTTCAAAAATTTCTTTTCTTCTTTACATAAATTTTATAATTATCAATAATTAATATTTTTATTAATTTAATGATGTGATAATAATTTTAAAATAATTTTATTATTTAAATTAAAAAATTTAAATCTTAATTTTTAAATAAAAAATAAATAATATATCAATTAATAAATTAAACGTTAAAATAATTGTTGAAGCATCAATCTGACGCTACCTACGACTAATTCTAGTTACGGCCAACATCAAATCAATACTCCAATTACCAGATTTAGCTACGGCCAATGCTAAATCAAAGCTGTATTATGTTGGTATCCTCCAAAGAATTAGAGAAAAAAAATTAAAAAAATAAATTATATTTATAATTTAAAATTTTGTATTAATAATAAATTATTAATATTTTAAATTTTTAATGAAAATAGAAATTAAAAGATTAAAATAGAAAAACTGAAAATATAGATAAAAATAAAGAATCATATTAATATTTTAATAATAAACTATTTTTAAAGTGAAATAATAATAGTACAATTATATCAAAATAAGCACGTGAAAACACTTAATAAAATTGTAACACTGACCTTAGGAGAATATTAAGAAATATCATACAAATAAAATATTAAAAACTTATATTTATAAGAAAATTCGTTGAACGATTTAGATTAATAATACATATAGAAGATACTAACTTGTCATCTCTTTATTTAAATATCTTTAATATGTTGATAATAAAATATTAAATTAATAATAACATATTATTAAACTAATAAATTTCAAAAATCTAAAAAAATTTTAATAAATTATAATAAAAGATATTCTTATCATTTTACCCTTTATTATTCTAAAATTATTTTTATTAATTAAACATTCAAACATTGAAATAATATTATAATAATTACATTTTATAAATTAAATTACATAATAATTATTTAATTTATTTTTTATAAATAATTATATTATTTTTTTATTTTATTTCACCAATCAAACTTGTCTAAAAGAAAAAGGAAAAAAAAAAAAAAGAAAGTCGATGTTGGTGGATGGCGAAGACAAAAGAGCAAAGAATGTGTATTCAAAAGAGAAGGAGATGACAAGCGTCAGGTAGAAAACGAAAAAGAAGAAAAGAAAGGAGTGGGTTATTGGTGCTTCAAGCCCATTAGGTCCAGCAGCTCGAGCCTAGATTCGATTTCCCCTTCACCCAATTGGTTTGATTCACACGCAAGGCCCAAGTCAAAACGACAGGTGTTTCTTTTTATTCTTAATATGTTTAACGTTATTTAAATAAAATTACATATTTTTTATTCATGCATATGAAATTAAACAAATGATAATAATAATAATACAAAAATGATTATTTGAATGTTCCTACTGTGACAAAAATTTTCTTTTGAAAATTTTTAGTGACATCTTTTCAAACTTTTTAAGATTAAATAATTTGGTGGGTTCCATCAAAATGTGGGGATGCCTAAAAAGTTATACTAATATGGGAATTAATTTCAAATAATCATCAAAATATTTTAAAATAAAAATTGCATTAGGAATAAATAAAAAAATTAAATCCCAATAATTAAAAGTTAATGAATTTCGAAAAACATTTTGTACCGTTATTTCATTTCTTATTTGCATCATATACTTTTAAATCATAATTATACAAGTAAATTTTGTTTGAAATCATTATACAAATAATAAAGGCATAATTTCTAAAAACATCCCTAAACTATTTAAGAAAATTCAAATAAGTTTTTATACGTTTATTACATCCAATCAAGCTCAAAAACTTTTATTTTGAATCAAATAAGTTCTTACATTTTTATTTTGAGTCAAATAAGCTTTTATAATTAATTATTGACTTAGTCAAAATGTAATTTATCATTCAATGCCAAATGGTGTTGACATAATATGCTAACATATCATAATTGATGGTTATATGGTATGTTGATAAATCATAATTAATGATGGCATGATATGATAATATGATGATGTGACATCTTTCACCCTCCACATCAGCGATATGTCAGTTTTATATGGATATAAAATGAAAAATAGTATTTTGACTAATAGCAAGTAGTTAACTATTAATCATAAGGGGTTATTTAAATTAAAATAAAAATATATGAGTTTAATTAAATACAATAAAAGAACAAAGACTTTTTCGAATTTTCTTAGATAATTTAAGGATTTTTTGGAACATTTTCTCAATAATAAATTAAAATCCAGACAATGATAGAATTTCTCAAGAAAATTATAGAAACAAACTTCTTCAAAACTTATTAGATGAGGAAATACAGGGAATTTTAAAAAAATGCCATTAAAATGATTTTCATTTATTGTTAAAAAAAATTGAAAAATATTTAACACAATAATTTAAGAGATAATTAAAATAAAATAAAATTACTGAGAGAAAATTAGGTTGGTGTAATCAAAACCATCAAATAGAATTCTTCAAGAAAATAATAAAAAATACAAGACCTTAAAAGAATAAAACAATAAAAAATCATTTCATAAAATATCAAATTTGTCCAACAATGAAACTTATTTTAAAAAAAGATTTATGTTTGATGCATTGACAGTGTATAACTAATGCCACCTTACTATAAAATAAATTTAAAACTTTAAAAGACTTAAAAATAAATATTACTATTTTAAAAAAATAAAAATAATTTTTTCTCTCTCCAACCCTATCCCGTCCAATCTCTTCCTCTGTTGTTCTTCTTTTCCTTTTATAATTTCAAAAATCTAAATTCTTAATTTTGATTCTTAAAAATAATATTTATTCCAATTTTTTTCTTAGTTTACCATTTTATATATATTATGATTTTTTATTTATCGTTTTTATTTTATTAACAAAAGAGGTTTTTTGAAACTCACATTGTGAAGACATCATTCTAAAGTTTCATCGTGATAATCTTAAGGGACTCATGCAAATAAAAAAAGTTTTTTATTCACAGATTTTTGTTTAGGGTTGTTTTTTGGGTTCATCTTAGATTTATTACTTCAAATTGATTCTAAGTTTTGAATTGACAAACAAATGTTAAAATTTGTTTTTCAAATGATCAAACAAGTCAAAAAGTCTTTGAAATTGTTTAAATGAAAGAGCTAAGTATTTTAGATTAAAAATAAGTAAAACAGTTCTTTATACAAAATTTCTGCCTTGTATCCATCGACAAATGAAGAATATTTATCAATAGTTGTTCATTCTAGCATTTGGGTTTCAATGCCCAATGTCATCTAACAATAGATTCGAACCCAAAAGCTCTTGGAAGATCCCTTGACTTAAATCTATCGATAGATGAGCGTGAATATTTAAAAAATAAAAGGTCATCTATCAATGGATCACAAAATTTATCGATAAATAGTGACTGTTGAAGCCTACAATGAAGAGAAAAACAGTTATTTTCATAATAAATGTCCCTCCAACTACCTCAGAAGCTTCAACCACTATAAATACAATCTCTCACCACATTTATGAAGGTTGGAAGACTCTAAAACACAACTTTAAAAGAAGATTTCAGCTCAAATCATTCAATACTCTTTGTATTGTTCTTCTAGCATTTAAGTCTTCTATTGAATCATTTAGTAAGTCTTTACTTCTTATCATATTCTTCACCAAACATTATACTTAACCTACTACTTAGCTTTTAAAAAGCATTTTAGTTGCACTTTTATTTCTCTTATTATATAAACTTAAGTGGTTATACCTTAATCAAGAAAAAAGGTAGAATGGTTGTGCTTTAACTATAAAAGCTTGTATTAAAAGGTTGTGCTTATCCACTAAAGGCATTGTAGTGAATCTTATTTCTATAATGGATTCTAAATTTTGTTAAGGGAGAGGATATAAGCAAGGAAGTCGAACCTCTATAAAAATTATTTTGTTAATTTTTCTCTCTCACTCTTTCAGTCTTATATGTGTTTCTAATTTCTCTTATTCATAAGAAATCAATCATTTTGTTCATTCTTAAAAAAGGAATTTAACTCCAAAGAATTTTGTTTTCCTAAAATTGAAAAAAAAATTTTAAAATATTTACAATAGTCAAATTTATCCTTTTTGGAACTAATCACATTGAACTTATTGAACTAACACATCCGTTCATAGATAAAAGGGGTTGTACTAGGTAAATTTTTGTTTGATCTTGTTTAATCTCCAGCAAAACCTAAAATATGTGAACTTGCTAGGTATTGAAAGAAAGCTTGAGCTCTACAGATTTTTTGTGTGTTGCAAGTTGCTATGCTTGAGTAATTTTTATAAACCACTTGCTACATTTATATTCCCAAAAGGCAATTATATTTCTTTAGTGCGCTTTCCACCTTTTCCAATTGCTTTATTCATTTCATTTAATTTACTTCAAGGCAAGTCAACCATTGCTGAACAAATCAAAGATTTTACCTAATTATCTATTACCATTTTTTGAAAGTACTTTCTAAGTAAAAGAGTGATATAAATATTAAGAATTAAATTAGAAAGAAGAGTACAATAAATATTATTTTGAAGAATCAAAGTTAAGAATTGAGGATTTAGTTTCCAAAAAAAAAAAATTTGAATCTATTGTTGTTGAGGGGAAAAGAGGAAATGATTGAGTAAAAGAGGTAAATAGATAAAAAAAAATTTGTTTACTTTTTAATTTTTTTAAAAAAATTGATAATATTTATTTTTAAGTCCCTTAAAATTTTAAATTTATTTTTTAATGAGGTGGCATGATCTTATGCCCTGACACTGTATTTTCATACATTATCAGTACATTAAATATAAATCAATTAAGAAAAATATTAATATTTGATCTATTGACAGTGTATAGATTTTATACACTTTCAACCCACCAAATGTTGCCACCTCATAACAAGACAACTAAGTTCTTAAAGAACTTAAACTTAAATATTAAAAAATTTTAATATT